TACATTTTCTGATACATATTGATGTACTTATGCTGTGTAGAAAGTTTGAGCCAATTCCAACTTCAATTTTTCAAGTTATGGCCATTTTAAGAAAACGTCAAAATTCTGAAAAATACACTGTACTATAGCCCATGGTTTTTTCCAAAAAATGGCTCCGAAATTACCCCTAATTTTTATTACATTTTCTGATACATATTGATGTACTTATGCTGTGTAGAAAGTTTGAGCCGATTCCGACTTCAATTTTTCAAGTTATGGCCATTTTAAGAAAACGTCAAAATTCTGAAAAATACCCTGTACTATAGCCCATGGTTTTTTCCAAAAAATGGCTCCGAAATCACCCCTAATTTTTATTACATTTTCTGATACATATTGATGTCCTTATGCTGTGTAGAAAGTTTGAGCCGATTCCGACTTCAATTTTTTAAGTTATGGCCATTTTAAGAAAACATCAAAATTCTGAAAAATACATGTATGTGGTTTTGAAGGTTTTTCTGTATAATTTTATTATAGTTATGCAGCTTCTGGATAGAGATAGTTTCTTAAAGCAGGTACATTCTGGTGAGGACTATCAAAAAACTGGAGACTTACAAAAGCTAACATCTGAGTAATGATAAGCATGCATGAACACTATAGCTGTATTGTATCACCTTTAATGATTCTTTTTTTTGCAGTCACTTAACACTGAAGTATGGTATCTCCAGGAGAGGAGGAGGAGGAAGTGGTGGAGGAGGTAGAAATGGAAAGAAGGTGATGACAATGAAGGACAGACAGAAAAGGATTGCTGAGTTGGCTGCACTTTATGCAACGAAAGTCACATCGCCTCTACCACCAATAAGCACTGCAGGTAGGGAATACACCACATTTTACAGACATGCAAGAAGTCTTGATATTTTTTTACATTGTGTGTACTGTGTAGATGGCTCTCATCGAATGGACAGTATCAATATTGATGAATTGGTGGCATGGACTGAGGCATTGGATGAAAAGGAGCTGGAGAATGTTACTGTCAGTTAGTACAGACGATAGCCATTCATTGGACTACAGCAACAATTTTTGTTTTATTTTATTTTTCTACAAAAATAACAATCAACCTCTTTTTAATAATCAGACAGAATATTAATTATTTTTGTGAGAATTGATTCAATTGAAATTCTATTGGGTGGAGCACTTCTTATCATTATATTGCAATTAGTCTTGTCATAGATATTATAGTCTCTAATCTTAGTAATCTATGGTCTTGTAAAATGGCCGGTTCTCCTTGTAACCCTTGTTATGACAATTTCATCCTCACCACTGATTCTTACAAGGTAACTTGAGCTGCGGTCATTTTGTGAATCACTATGTCTTCCTCCTCGTTGTGTAGAATACTCATTATTTGCAATATCCTCCAGGAACTACTACCGTTTATTCTTACTTTGAGAGCAGAGGAGGAAAGCATCCTCAAACAGTGTTCTTTGGCCTCCAGTACATATTAAAGGTGCTTAGATAAGATTTTACATTAAAAAATTATTAATTAACATTATAGCGTTATTTTCTTGGTAAAGTTGTGACACTTGAGAAGATTGAGCAAGCTAAGGCAATATTTGATGTCCATGTTGGCCCTAACATATTCAATTATGAAGGATGGAAGTACATACTAGAGAAATACGATGGGCACTTGCCTCTTAGAATAAAAGCTGTTCCCGAAGGAACTGTAATGCCCACTAAGAATGGTATTTGTTTGTTTGTTT